CCACAGTACTTCTTTAAATACAGGACTTCTAAAATACTACAAAAGAATTCTAATTGCAGACACCTAAATCTATAAATCCACTTGTCTTTGGCCTAACATTAGTTAAGTCTTTATTAAGTATGGCCTATATCTGATAAAGAAATAACTTCACACCGTGACTTTTATTTGCCGACTTACAATGCTAGAAACCGGGTTTTGATACCCGTGGTAGGCAGGTCACAGATAGCCCATTGTGTAGCTTTGTGCTTAACTACAAACAAAAAACTTTTGTACATTTTCTGCTTTAGTTTAGTTAAGGCTAAACTTCACCGTACTTAGTACTATCAATAAATGAACTTATAATGTTGTGACATAACATTAGACCTTTTTAAAAACTGAGCTTTTAACATGTTGTTGTATAAAATGTCTACTAAAATATACTTACATCCACCTTTTGTTTACAACCGTGGAAATGAAGTGAGCATGCATTTTCCGGAGAGACAAAAACTGAGTATTATTATAATGAATTATTTTCTCTTTTTCTTCTTAATTTTGATGTTAAATCTAGGCCTTTTTTTGGCAATTCAGTACATTTTAGGTTTTGAAAATCAGCATTTAGTGAGCTTTTAAGGATAATGGGTCCGTGTGGAATTCCTGCCTGTGGTCCAAAATCCCCTAGAATTGCGATTGCAGACGATGACCGAGGAAACCTTGCTAGTTTCAGCACTTTCATACATGCTTGAAATATTGTGAAATGTTCACTTACCATTCTGTGCACCATCTTCAAGTTAGTGATTAGGTAAGCCTCCTATATATTACCTTAGACAGAATTTACTTGCTTTGAAGTAGCATACATCTTATTTTGAAGTCATTTTTATATTATATTTGCTTTGAAGTATTTATCGTACTAAGTTTAAAGTTATTTATATCATACATTCTTTGAAGTCATGGACACCATACTTGCTTTGCAATCATATGTACAACACTTGCCCTCTTTACAAACAAAGGCTCAATGACTAGATGTGTTTTTGGCTCATCTATCAAGGAGAATTCAGACATAATGTTTAAATCCACTATGATCTTTACTACACACACACACACACTGAAGCTACACGATTTATTTGGTGCACAAGTTATTCTAAGATCATTTAATCAGTTCAAGAAATGCTGACAAGTAAGAAAAGCATCTGGAACAGTGGTGTCAGAGAGGACCGGAACACTGCTTCTGTTCTTCGTTTGGTGCGATTAACATAAGTATTTGTAAAATAAGTTTGGACTGTAGATTCTAGTATATTGAAAACTAATTTTGTTTACATTTCACAAAATTACTAACTTCTACTTGTCTGTTTCAGATATTTGTGTAAGGTGAGCTACCTATGTATTTTATTGAACCAGTAGACTAGACGGAAGGAAGCGCTAGTCAACAGCAACCTCCTCCGACTCTTGTGCTACTCTAATTGATTAGTGTATCTAAGTACCCAAACAGTTCAGAATCGGGTACCATACACTGAAAACAAGAGAATAATTCTATAATGTGTATGTATCTTTTAACCCTATTGCTATGGGTCACGGGTCAAAGGCCATGTCATATCGCATTTGTTGACTCGCATTCAGAATTTTATTGAATTACTATTTTATGAATGTATGTCAATAAGTTTGGTATCAAATTGTAGATTATAATTCAAATTTTAGTATGATTCATTAGTTAATTTCTTAATTTAAAAGCAAATATTAAAAAAGAAATCCTAAATATCAATTTTTGTGTCACGTGGTATGTTGAATGCAGCACTGGTTCAAATTAGATGTTTGTGATGTCCAAATACAAAGTCTATAGTTTCTTACAAATTAGGAACTCAAATTACCAATATTGACAAGCTAGAATATAAAATAGGAACCTCCTCCCTCTTCTTTTTGCTGAGATATCATTACATTTACTGAATCAAACACAGTGGCCCTGCCCACCTATTTCCATTTTTGAAAACGCTTACATACACCTACTTCTGTCAATGAAGTGTGAATAACCAATCAAAAGCTCAAAATGTCCCCCACATGGTTCTCTGAGCCTTTGCAAAATATTTACATGGGGAAACTCTTTCTTTTCATGGTAGATTTCAAACGATAAAGTAAGCCTTTAGTGAGCTCAAAATTCATATTCTTTCAGACCCAAATACAGCTTAGTTACTATGGTACTGATGTAGTAATTTATTATTTTTGGTTATTTAAAAATGTATATATAAAAACTAAAAAAAATTATTATGTTTCACAACCTCCACGTGCAAAATTTGATAAGGCTTAGCAACCTATGGCAAGCAGCAAATGAGTTCAAAGTTTGGAACTATAAGAAATAATTATTTTCTTTAATTCTTGATTTACTGTTCTATGTTTTAAGAAAAATAACTGATATTTAAGAACTTACTCTATTTAAATACTAATAATGTATATATACATATATAATGCATTAAAACTGAAATGTGACTGTATTTTACAAGATACTAGTCCACAAAAACACAGCCAAGACAGGTCACTTTGTATAGGCCAGTTATAAATTCTTGGATACGGTAACATGAGTGCATGTGCGCCGTGTCTTTGCAACTTCCATAATATTAGCCAGGCATGGCTGAGAGGTCAATATAATAAAAATAATAAATATATATAGATGTATAATGTAATGAAATTTATGCTACTTAGACTAAACATTTATGTTTTTGTGTTATAATCTGTTTTCATTCTAGAAAGAAAAAAGCAAAATTTATATTTATTTCCTAATTTTTTTATGGTGGTTACAAAGTCGGTCAAATCGACCCAACCCGTACAGAAATACAGTAGTGAAAATAACAGACAAAATGTAGTTTTTTTTCTAAAAAAAAAAAATTTTATAATTATCTGGAAGTTATAAAAATTTTGCACATGCAATCTGAAAATGTTCTGATGCATAAAAGTATGTTTAATCTTAAAGTCAAAATTACTTTGCACGTTGGATAGTCAACATCCTGAAAGAAAAGATTTTACGAGAAAATATTTAATTAAAAAATCTTAATAGTTAATTTAAGAACCTGATATTTTGTATACAAAAGCCTTGTAATGTTTATCAATAACCTGCAAAATTTTGTAAAGATATGTGTAAGCTATCAAAAATTATAGTATAATTACTTTCATGATTACTTGCTGGGTGAATTCCATCTAGCCCATAATGGAAGGGTTAAATCAGAGAATAAGAAAAAAGACAGCATTGAAAAGAAATTTCCTTACAGCCTATTGCAAGATCTCCTAGGATATTAACCAAAAGCTAACATAGTATGACTGATATCTTAAAGAACAACACACCTGTAGAAATGGTTCTTTGGATACCTCCTCCATCATGAGGACCTACATGTCGTCTTTCTTGAACTTTTCTTCTTGACCTAGACCTAGCTAATTCTGAAACCAAAATTAGCATCTATTATTTCTGAGAAAGGAAAACTATTTTGAAAAATAATTGAAACAATTCTTCCTTCTTCTTTATCACCTTATAATAAATCAAGTTTTGACGATGAGATGAGAAGAAAAACGTATATTTTACAATGTTCCATGCTCTAGTACCATCTGAATGTAATAATGTTCTACCACGTGGCAGTAGAAGTAACTATTAACCGTCGACACTGCCAGTCAGCACAAATCCAAATGTGTCTGGACCCATATATTTTACAATGTTCCATGCTCTAGTACCATCTGAATGCTAATAATGTTCTACCACGTGGCAGTAGAAGTAACTATTAACCGTCGACACTGCCAGC